TTCCTAACTAAATGATTTCTACTAAGCAAATGGTGCCAAACCAGATTTGTTATACTCAATCACTGTGGTCTATCGCTTTAGCTCCTTTCAGAATGCCAGTATCATCCCTGACCCCATTAGTGCTGTCTTCCTTTTACCTTCACTGGGGACACCAAGTGTCACACAACTATGTACTGCCAATATCCACGGTAAGTGTGTAGGATGAACTGCTTTTACTTCTCCCAAATAGGAACACCTGTGTAAAGTGATGCACCAAGTTACGAACCGCTAGAAGCGATTCTTTTTAATGCCATGAGTCTGGGTAGGGAAGGGGTGGGGGAAGAAGGAAACGTTCTGGTTTCCTTTGACCCTGTTGAGAGCAGTGGTGACTTAGAGGTCTCTCCTTAAGGGTCTGACTCTGGGTGGTTTGGGAAGTGATGGTGTGTGTGGAGTTCCTGGGCACAAGGAAGTATCCATCAGTAATAACCACGTGAGGGTTCCACGAGAAACTTTTTCAGGGCAAGGTACCAGCCAATGAGACGTAGGAGCACAGACTAAGTCTCAAGGTTGAAAACACCTTAAAAACATCTAGCTTGGTGGTTTGCATGCAAACCTTTTCTTCAAAGCAAGTCTTAAGCAGAGCCTAATATGTCAAACTTATGACAGCATAGCTGCTCTGCTTAGAACTGCAGTAGAGGGAAGAATAAAGCCCCACAATCTGTCTTCCCCATGGCTCCTGAATAGAGCTGAATACCATACCCTCTTCCTTTTTTGGGTATCACTTCACCTGGAAAAACCAGCAGAGAAAATGAAGGAACTTTCTCCATACCACCAAGGCAGGTGACTACCTGGGGCAAGGTGGAGAGAGAAGCAAGATTCTGAAACTTTTATTAAATTCAACTCTGATAAAATTTCTGACAACGAAACATATTATAAGGGTGGGAATTGCAATTGTTGGAAATGCAGCAGAATGGTCAAAAGCATACTAAACTATGTGATACTGAAACGGAAGTTACAGTTCTAGTTGTCCAGTTGTGGTGTAAGAAATGCAAGTTCTTCATCAACATGGGGAATATAATGCACCTTTACATGTCCAGGCAATCTGTGTTCGCCCCCAACCTAACTCCCCATACACAATTTTTAGCCTCACTACACTTACAAATAAAACATTAACTTAATCAGGACAATGAGCATAAAGCAAAACACTAGGTTTGGGAACCAAATCATTATATCTACTGTTTAACGTTACAGGTTGCTGTTGACATTAGAATGAAGAATAAGTTTTCATTAAGCATTTCTGCTCACCTGTGGTTCTAAATGCTACAGGTGTTTTTTGAGGGCTGCACAGAGGGCATGAGACTCAGGCACCTTATGGGCACAGTACACATTCCTCATAAGTTTAGGACTAAATCCCAACCAATTCCAAGAACTCGGTAGACTTCATTTCCCAAAGTTGGGTGTGCACATTAGGAAAAACCTGAGAAAGACTATGTCCCTTTGTAACACCTTTCCCTCTAGCTCTGCAAAGGAGCTTCACATTGCAGCCCTTTTGTCACCTTTGTTAGGCTCACCAAGTGGCCTGGAGGCTGCTGAGAACAAAGCGCCTTTCATCCTCTGATACTGGTTGAAATTCACGGACTCAGCCAGGCTGTCAATGCAGACAGCAGCTCAAAGACCCAACTCAGGTGAGCAAAGAGTCAAAGCCTCCTTAGTTATGTCACCATACTTGGATTCCTTCACGCACAAGCTGTCCCACAGCTCCTCTGTGGCCCAGAGGAGCATAAGGATCAGTGACAAAAGGTAGGATGTGCCTATAGCACAGCGTTTGTGTCACAATCTGAGACCTGAAAAGTAGATTCTCCAACGTTCGGAGACATTAGCAAACTAATTGTGAAATTTTATGGGTTAATGCCCAGGATTTACCCTAAAGACCTCCAAATATTTTGGTTAACATCAACTATCATCACGTAAAGCAGGGAGCATGGAGATAGCAAACTTGGGCCATTTGTTTTTATTATTTTAGTTTTCTAATAACTAGCATCTACTGAGCACTCACTCTGTGGCTGGCAGAGGACTAAGCCCTTGACACAGATTATCTCTTTAAATCTTCATGAGACCCTTAGTCAGATATCATTTTAACCCAATTTTACAGGTGAGGAAAACCCTAGGGCTTAGAGAAATTAAGAAACTGGTCCAAGGGCACAGAGCTACCATGTGGCAGCCAGAGGATTTAAACCCAAACGAACAGAGCTAAGCTATGCGGCCTTTGACTGAAATTCGATGCTGATACTACAGTTCTCAGTTAATGTGGTAATTGTGGAGTAAGATAAAACAAAATCAACATTTTGTCCCTTCCATATAGTAACAAATATTGCTCATGCTTAAATGCTTAGTCAACCTAATGCTAAGGAAACAAATATTACTTAACTTTTTCTGGTGAAGGACACAGTCATATAATATACACAAATATGCAATATTAGCTGGTTGCAGACAAATACGTCTAAAATGATCACTGCAGCTAAGAAAACACAAAATTTGCTTGAGTATTTGGG